TATTAACAAAATATTCATTGTAAATATTTTAAACCTATAACACCCTGCTAAATTTTTATTATTTGTGTTTGATAAGAAAAAAACTAAGATTTCAATAGTTGGGCCAACTGAAGTGGGAAGGGGCTCGTATATAGACTCAAAAAAGCAGTTTAAAGCTCCTAGACACTAGCTATAAGGTTTTTTAGCCACAGATTTCAGGAACAACGGTTCTGATGCAATTTTAGGATGGCGCAAAAAAAATTATAGGAGACATTTTTTTCTATTAGGTTATCACTGATATCTCGGTAACCAGTGATCCCACTGAGAATGTAATGTCTCTGGAAACTGAAATAAGTATCCTATCAGCTTTGATTGCAATATCTGATGAAAATTTGTTTCTGCTCCCTTCAGTGTTGATTTAAGTTTTAAAAAAAATTCTTGCGCTTCGAACCGATGCTCCTCAAATTTGTCGGCTAAGGAACCTAAAAACTTGAATCTTAAAGCTTCAAAATGCTTTATTTGAAGTTTAGATACGAGCTTGTTTCACCAAAATATACCGGAAAATTTGGATTTGTTCTTGCTCCCTTAATTTTGTATCGTAGTGTATTTGAAGCAATGTTATTACCTCATTTTGCTTGTTCTTGTTCTCAAATGACCGTCATAATTTCGAAAGAATTTGTGCTCTTGAAGCAAGGAATCTGTTTTCATAAATAGGTAACTAATGGATAGAGCACGGATAGTTAATTTAGTAGTCACTAAAAATTTTAAATTGATTCTTCAGAGACATCATACAAAATGATATCGATACATCGATGTTATTTAAAAACGGTTATTGATGGTAAACATCGATATTCTGTTATTAAACAGCGGCTGGTGTTAGTTACGAAGCAACCTTAAAAAAAATCAGTAAGCATAAAAGCCTAAAAGTTCCACTATTTCAATTTGTGCTTGTTTATGGAATTGTTATCATCATTTGGGCCTCGCAAAGCTGTTGTCGACGACGTAAATATACAGGGTGTTTCAAACTCGACACTCACCATTGGGATCTCGAAAACGGTAGAGAGATACGAAGTCGCTTAAATGGGACCAGGTTGCGTATTTAGGTAATAATCAACAAAATGCCTCTTAGAATGTTTCGAAATTAAAAATACTTCCGGAGAGACACGGAGACAACGAATTGTCCCAAAATCGTTTTAATTCTTTTAACCTGAATAGCAGTGGAATTTCAAAATAAGTTTCACAATAACATTTCACTTTTTCTCCTCGAAAAGATGGCATAGTTAGAATACCAATACGTTTCGTCCCTTGTGCTCCAGCATCAACGGTATTTTTTCTTACGGACGCCATATTGGATTTTTTCGCAGATGAATAGAGTTTTCATTTCTGATTTTAGAAATGTATAATCTGTCATACATTGACATTATCAAACCTTGGTTATTCCAGGAAACTAAAGTTTCCTATGTAGGAATTGAAATTCTCCGATTTCATTTGTTTCGTATATCAAATCAGACCTCAAATTGAACATAGCATCAAAGTTTGTAAGACTGAGAAGAAGAGAAATAAATCGAGCAGTGAACAATGTTCAGAGAAAAGCCATTGTTTGCCTACAAAATAACGGAGAACAAATGCTCTTGTTGTGTTCATGTTTTACAACAAAGTTGGTGATTGAAGTCAAAAGAAGGAATGTCGACTTGAAAATTTGACTACGCCATCTTGTAGAGGGGAATAAGTAACAATGACAACATGCAATTTATTTTAAAATCCCATCTCAAATAGAGACAGGAAAAAATAAAAGTGATTTTGGGCTAAATCTGGTATGCAAAGCAAATGACTTATAATTGATATATATATATATATATACACAGGGTGTTTCAGTTTATTGTTGCATAACTTTAAGATTCGATAGAGCTTTTAAAATTAATGCATAAAGTCTATATAAACATGGGTCGAAAAATGCGTGGCTTCCGAAATACAGGGTGTTTAAATTTACTTTCTAAAATAGTTTTTTTTAAATATTTCGAACAATATTTGATGTATAACAGTGAAAATTGGTATACAAGAGTTTTTTGGTACGATAAAACGAACCATGGGCATAGTTTTACTGTAGCCGCTGTACCTGTAGTGTATTAAAATTACCGACATTTTTTTGTTAGTGCAATTTTTTGCTTTTTGAATAAAAAAACTGAATCTTCGCACTTTTCAACATAAAAAAGCTCTCTTGTGAATTTTCGTTATAGTTAGCCGTTTTTGAGATATTTCGATGCATTTTTAATTATTCATGATAAAATAACGTTAAAAAGTCAGTATCTCGATAATTTTTAGAAGTAGGCTGTGCCTGCAAATATTTTTGAAATTGAAAGCAGAATAAGGTTAAACGTCAATTAGTTGACAGTTAGTTTTGTTGTCTGTTGAAACCTGAAACGTTTTTTTGCAATTGTGAATGCACGAAATATAGTTTCCTGTTTTTCTTTGTAAGTTTTATAAAAATGCCATTTTTATTCTCCAATCAAGAGTTAGCGGATATTCATTTTGTGTGTGGCTTTGTAAATGGAAACGCAGTAGAAGCAGCCAGAGAATACGCACGAAGATTTCCAAACAGACGACATCCAACTCGCTCAGTATTTGTAAGAGTGCCAAATAATTGAAAATGGTTATGGAAATCTCCAAAGGGATCAAAACATAAATGTTCGTCAGCGCATATTTACCCGTATGATTCTGCGTGAGTTTGATAGAGATCCGACCACAAGTGTTAGGAGAGTTTCTGGTGCCTTGGAAATTTCAGCAAGCCATGTTCACCGTGTTCTTAGAAATGACCATAGACGTCCTTACCATTTGCAACCTGTGCATCCAGGGGACGGAGAACGAAGTCACATTTTGCCAGTGGATTCTTGATAGAACTGATAATAATAGAGAGTTTTTAAGTAACGTTTTATGGACCGATGAGTGAGCTTCACTAGACGTGGAGTGGTAAATTTTCATAATCGACATATTTGGTCGCATGAAAATCCGCATGCAGTTCTGGAAAGAAATTTTCAGCATGGATTTAGTGTGAACGTGTGGATTGGTATCTACCGTAATCGACTATTTAGACCCTACCTTTTGCCTGCAAGGTTAAATGCTGCGACCTTCTTGGAATTTTTAAAGGCTGAACATGCAAATATATGAGAGAAGATTGGCCTGGTTCCAGCTTGATGGTTGTCCAGCTCATTATTCGAGAATAGTTAGAAACTGGCTGGACGGAAATTATCCAGAAAGATGGATCGGCCGTGGAGGACCCTGGCCTCCACCATCCCCTGACCTAAATCCATTAGATTTCTTTGTGTGGGGATTTCTAAAAGAAAAAGTGTACCAGACTCCCGTAACCAGAAGAGATATGCTAATAGATAGAATCAGGAATGCATGTGATGAAATAAGGCCTTATCTGAATAATGCTATACCACGTTCGATCATTCGTAGATGTGAATTGAGCATTGAACAATTGGGTTTACATTTCGAGCAACTACTTTAGATTTTGTATGTTTGTCCTAACTATCCAATAGCATTTTAGTTGTAAATAATTAATTTAATTTGTTAAAAATAATATTGTAAAATTAAACAAATTGATTGCGTTTATTTGAAGTTAGGAACTATTGCTGTTGTTAAAAACACAATCTAGACGATCATCTTAATTACTTGTAATGCCCAAATCGAAAATGTAAAAAAAAATATTATTTTCCCATAAATAATTAAAAATGCATCGAACCTTAAAAATCGAAATATCTCAAAAACGGCTAACTATAACGAAAACTCACAGGAGAGCTTTTTTTTTGTTGAAAAGTGCGAAGAATCAGTTTTTTTGTTCAAAATGCAAAAAATTGCACTAAGAAAAAATTTTTGGTCATTTTAATACACTGCAGGTACAGTAGAGAGCGCCCTCTAGCGGCTACAGTAAAACTATGCCCATGGTTCGTTTTGCCGCACCAAAAAACCCTTGTATACCAATTTTCACTGTTATACATCAAATATTGTTCGAAATATTTAAAAAAAACTATTTTAGAAAGTAAATTTAAACACCCTGTATTTCGGAAGCAACGCATTTTCCAACCCATGTTTATATAGACTTTATGCATTAATTTTAAAAGTTCTATCGAATCTTAAAGTTACAATAAACTGAAACACCTTGTATATATATATGATTACATCTATCTCCTATTGTATCTAACTCTTTCTATCTAAATTTTGTCAATCTTTCTTAATTTGTATTAAGTGCATTATGTAGGGTTAAGTGGAAGACCAGCTATTCCCCCTTCGAATAAATGCTGAACTTCGTCATTTGCGGGTAGCAATACTATATCCTTGCACCTTGTTATCAAAGAATAAAGATGATTATTATTATTATTATTATTATAATTTCAAGGCCTACCTAGGAAATTCTATTTTTTTTTTTTTGGAATAACTAAGGTTTAGCAATGTCAATATGTAACGAATTATACATTTTTGTAATTAGAATAAAAAACTCTATTCATCTGTGCAAACGTCCAATATGGCGTCCATAAAAAAAAAGGTTGATCCTGGAGGACAAGAGACGAAACGCCATACTGAGATTCTAATTATGCCGCCTTATAGAGAAGAAATAGTGCCATTGTTGATGTGCAAGTTATTTTGGAATCCCACTGCCAACAAATCCAGGAAAAATAAAAAGAATTTTGAAAACTTTCGGTTTTTTCCGTCGCTCTCCGGAAGTACCTTAAATTTCGAAACTTTCTAAGCGGCATTTTGTTTATTACCTAAATACGCAACTTTACCCCGATTTAAATGACTTCGTATCTCTTACAGGCTTCGAGATCCCAATGGTGAGGGTCGAATTTAAAACGCCTCCACTGTGCATAACCTCATCTTATGCAAAACTCTAACTAGGCACCACACCTGAATATCTCCATCAACACAATTCGCACATAACAGCACCGAAGCCGGAAAATCCCATTTTCCTATTTCCGTGAACTCCGCAAATGCTGTATGCTAGTACATGGAAACGCACTCACCGATATATTAAAAAATTTCATTTTGACACAGACGAGTTGCGAAGTTGCGGAAGAGTTGCGGGGCCACGCACGATCGGCGTAGGCGACAACCAAGCGGGAGTTGTGCTACTGGGAAATGATGCGGGTTCACTTGATGTTTATTTATGCAAGAATCGAAGATGTGTCTCCCCCTGCTCGACGCGTCGACCGTGAAGGATGTTTTAAAACAATTGATATTTGCTATAGTCTAGGAAAATTACGACTCACGATGTTTTTTTCTCCATGATATATAATGGGTGATTTTTTTGCTAGTATCTTTTTGGCAACACTATTTTTGACAGATGACGCGTGAATCGTGTCTTGTGTCATTGTCAAACTTGTTCAGTTTGGTCTATAATTTAACCATGAATTGACCTATGAACGAACAACGCTTGCAAATTATTGAATTTTACTATCAAAACTCATACTCCGTTAAGAGAGTGCATCGAGCACTGCTTCCAATTTATGGGCAATTTGGTCGGCCTACTGAGGGAGCTATTCGGAAGCTTGTGACTAACTTTCGAACCCAGTTTATATTACTGGACAATAAGCCACCAACACGCAGACGTAGAGTGAGGACTGAAGAAAATATTGCGGCTGTATCCGCCAGTGTCAGTGATGACCGTGAAATGTCGATTCGCCGCCGTTCGCAGCAATTGGGCCTCTATTACGCCACTACGTGGAAAATTTTGCAACAGGATTTGGGTGTAAAACCTTATAAGATACAGCTGTTGCAAGAATTGAGGCCACACGAATTCCTACAACGTTTCCCATTTCGTGAATGGGCGCTGCAAAGTTGGAGGAAGATCCACATTTTTATCGAAAAATTGTGTTCAGGGACGAAGCTCATTTCTGGTTGAACGGGTACGTTAACAAGCAAAATTGCCGCATCTGGAGTGTAGACCAGCCAGAAGCATTGCACGAGCTACCAATGCATCCAGAAAAAATCACTGTTTGGTGTGGATTATGGGCCGGTGGCATCATCGGGCCGTACTTCTTCAAAGACGACAATGGCCGGAACGTAACTGTGAATGGCGAGCGCTACCGTGCGATGATAACAAACTTTTTTTTGCCCAAAATGGAAGAGCTGGACTTGGCTGACATGTGGTTTCAACAAGACGGTGCCACATGCCACACCGCACACGAAATAATGGCCCTATTGAGAGGCGAGTTCGGTGAACAGTTTACCTCACGTTTGGGGCCCGTCAATTGGCCGCCTAGAACGTGTGATTTAACGCCGTTGGACTATTTCTTGTGGGGCCATGTTAAGGCTAATGTCTACAGGGATAAACCAGCAACGATTAACGCACTGGAAGCCAATGTTGAAGCATTTGTTCGTGAGATACCGGCCGATATGTTGGAGAGAGTGTGCCAAAATTGGACCTTGCGCATGGGCCATCTAAAGCGGAGCCGCGGCCAACATTTGCATGAAATAATCTTTAAACATTACATTATATCGACCGTTCTATCGACTCAAATAAAGATTTAATCGTTTTTCAAATTTTTTGTGTTTTTTTTTTTGAAAATCAAATCCTATACCTCTTAAAAAATCACCCGTTATTTATTAATTTTATTTACCTAGTTATTTGTGTATGCATATTTGCCCAACAGACTAATCCAATTACAGGGCAATATAGTGGTAACTTAACTAATACTGTGCATGCCAGAATCACCAAAAACAAGCATAAAAAATGAGCTATTGTAGTAGCCCTATTCGTTACATCAAAGCAGCCGCGCAGGCAAGAACCTAAATGCCAGGGCTCTCCGGCTGCTATAATGATCCCAAAGAAACTTTGATAACAAAATTTTTAAACTGCGTTTGGTTAGTAGAACTCCGAAAACCCTGCTCTTATAGATTGTTCGACAATCTCGACACCCCACAGACAAAGCAGCCGGGTCTGTCTGCCAGACACATCGCGTGGCGGCATCTAGGAGGAGTGGCTTGAAGAGCAAAGCCCATTGGTGAAGCGGTGGAAGAGAGCTAGGTGCCGAAACTGTCTGTTAGAGAAGGGTTATGAGTCAGTCGGACAGCCCAGGAATATAACGCCAGCGGTGGAACATCTCAATTATATAGATTCTAGGTTGAAACGTCGCAGCCATCAATTTCTTAAGTACCATATTTAAGAAATTTTCTCTGTGCGCTTGATATTTATATCATATGCATAGAAAGGTTCCCATATCAAAGAAGCTCAAGTTTTGGTCGCACCCGCAAAATAAAAAGAGTTTTTAGTGCTGCTTCGTTTATAAAAAAACATCGGCATTATGAAAATTAGAATCCGAAATGTCTAACCTGTAAGAAAATGTTACACCTGCTGTTCTGACCTGGGCCGCATTATTCATAGAATAATCAGAGGTAAACAAGTTTGCGACTATATGAACAAACTTCGCATTTGCAAATGTTAAGAAAAGAAAGTTATTGTCACACCACTGTATGATATTATCTAGAAACTCCTGAAAGAAAATACAGTTCTCTAAATTCGTAATTTTGGGGTAGGTCTTTAGATTATCCGCAAATGGACTTCAGGCCCCGATGTTAGTCCATCCTTTCTGATCAAGGATTGTGCCGGAGCATTCGTGGTTTTTTTAACAAAATTATTTAATTTGTGTATTCGTTCGAAGAAGTTTCCGAAACTTTGGAAAGTCGCCAAAGTGTCCCCTGTACTAAAAACTGGAGACAGGTCCAACTTTGAAAATTATCGCCCGATCTCCATTTTGTGCATGTTCTCGAAGGTCTTTGAGATAATACTTTTCAATCGTACTTATAGTTCGGCGCATAATCAACTCTCACAACACAAACATGGATTTATTAAAAACCGTTCAACTGCTACAAATCTAGGTACCGTAACGCAACATATACTAAGTGACATATAAATCCGAACACCCAGTTTAAATGGTTTTATTTTAATAAAATTTTGTATAAGTACTTAATGAAGCATAATAAGTAAATGATAAAAATTTCAAAATGATTGCACTGCTTTAAAGCCCTTTGACCTTTAATAATGTGTGGATGCACCCTGATGTGCTACGCATTCTCCAACGCGCCTAGGCATGCTTCTGATCAGGTGGTCAATGTCCTCCTGTGGTATCTCATTGCAGGCAACCACCAACTCCTCTCGAAGTGCTTCTAGAGTCTGAGGAGGACGTTGAAAATTGAGCAATCTCCTACCCATCATATCCCACACGTGCTCAATTGGGGATAAGTCGGGAGATCTTGGTGGCCATGGTAACAATGTGACATCATTATGTTGAAAGAAGTCTATTGTGACTCTTGCAACATGTGGTCCAGCATTATCTTGTTGGAAAGTTGGATTTGCCAGGGTGTCAAGATAGGGTAAAAGATGGGGTTCTAGAACTTCGTGGATATAACGCTGCGCGTTCATGTTACCTCTGATGAAGATTAAAGGTGACCTGGAACCATAACCTGTAGCACCCCAAACCATAACTCCAACAGTGTGATGAACATGTCTTTCAACAAAAAACTGTGGATTCCTCCTTTCTCCACGTCGCCTTCTAACCCTGGCACGACCATCGTGCATGCCTAAACAAAATCGAGTCTCGTCACTAAAGACAATACTGCTCCATTCCTGATCCCAGAGTGACCGTTGTCTGCACCACTCAAGACGATTACGTCGGTGTTCTCGAGTTAAAGGGAGGACCCAGTGTGGCCGGTATGAAAACAAGCCAAAACTTCTCATTCGTCGGTGAACACTTCGCATGCCAATAGGTCTTCCGTGTTCTGCAAACCGTTCATTTGCAATGGACCTGGTAGTTAGTTTAGTCCCTCACTTCTTGGAAAGATCAACATCAGTGTACCAACTTTTGCGTCGCCTACTCACTTCACGTTCAGAGCTACAAGGGCAAGAACAAATATTTCACTTGAAGTCGCCGCTAAATAATGTGTTTAAAAATTTCAACAGAATCTGTACTTTCTGTGACATATTTTGTACTTCTAACAAAGAATTAGTTAGGATAGCTAATACATATATAGGTGAAGGATATACGAGATATATTTTTGTTTTGTGATATAGCTTGTTCTGTATCTTTTGTATGGATTTTGTATAATATTGTCCTGTTAATGGGTCACTGTTGGACAATAAAGCTACTATCTATCTATACATATATCTATCTAAATAGTAGATTGTGACACTCTACTGGAGCGGCAAGATTATTGATGAAGAACAAAAACAACAAAGGGCATAGATTCGATCCTAGCGGCTATAGCTAAGGCATGACAATGATCAATCAAGCTGTGCTCCTGTACAGGGTGTTTCATGGAGACAGGGAGTTTAACCATAGAAATAGCCCATGGAAGCAATTATCATGAGCGCCTTATAACAAAATTCAACTAGGGCAGAAGATTTCCATCGCGGGGATCCAAAATCAACCTTGAAATTCCTATTTCTCTGGCTACAGCTTAAACGGTTTAATGAATTTTGCCATGTGACGCATCTCTAGATTTTCCTGGACAGTGCGAGTGTCACTAGTTATACTAAATTCTTATAAAAGACAAGCTCCAACTCTTCATAGAACAATAATGGATTCTTCATTCTTTCACTGACATTTTTTGTAAATGTATTTTTCTTTCTTTATGGGCCTGAGCCTTAGGCTTGAGAGAGCCGCACAACTGTACAATTAAGATCTAGCAAGAAAATGTTCGCCATTATTTTGAAAACCAAAAGAATACACACACCACTCGTTTCTTAAGAAACGGCTACCCTATTTGGTATATCTTACTTTTTAAGCGGAAACGAAGGGGGCATATACTCTCAATAATGGGTGTCCATGTTGATTATAGATAACCTAACGAGTTTTTAGCCTCTTGTAATCGAGATGCAGAGAGTTTTATCGATTTGGTCCATTTCTCTACGGCCTTGCAAGCCAACTTTTTTAACCAACCACTACATTGTTCTAAAACTCTGCACGAGTACCCAGTTCATACTATCTTCTCGACAGTGATACGAACAGAAAAAAAAAGATAGGCATCGGACTAGTTGAAATTGGACAAGACCCTCTTGCACGAAAACGACACCCTGTGTGTTAAAATCTCTGAATTTGGAAAGAGCATGGGAACTTCATTTTGTCGTTCTAGGAGCATTTCAACAATCCGCTTTTGTTATTTGAGCTGGCGATTTTGTGTGAGAGGGTCGAGCATGTTCATTTTGGA